AGGAATGTATTCATACTGGAGCCGTGGATATCCAAGTACTGCCGATGAAGTTGATGCGGCGATGTGAATGCGCCGTGTCAAGCAGTGAAAACTTAAAAACAAACACTACCAATATATTTTGAGTAGTATATTCAAATCCGGGAAGTCAAGTGCGGGGAACGGTGTCTGGATATTAGCCGTCCCTGTTTTATCGCTGTAGTGCGACGTGACGGGCGTGAACACTTATGTTGGGTTTGTTTGTGCCCAGGGGAGTCTTAGCACCTATACAAACGCTTTATGCGAGCACAAAATCGGGTTCGGATGGTCGCTGGCTGGATTCCATCGAAATGGTGGTGCGATAAATAACTCCTTTTTCTCAGGCGTTGGCACACCAGATGTTTCGGCGCGTTCTTCCAATAATGTGCTGCTAAACTTTACAATATGGTCGCTTTTCTCAGGGTGTTTTGTCTAATGGTGAGTTCATTCCCTAGCGTATTTGTAAAGCATGTTTGCCTACCTCGGTTGATGAGGCAGCTGGACTAGCTTCGTTCTTGGCTTCGCGGCACAAAACTATAGAAGTCTGTGTATTGCCCTGTCCATGTTTTCTTACGAAGTACACTACTACTAATTGCTCAATTCGACATTCGATAAAGTAGGACGTACAGAAAGGGGTGGCATTCTCCGTTCTCTTTTTCCAAGGCGGAGGTTAAGGCTAGGGGAGCCTGACTCGCTTTATGCAGGAGGGTGTTCAAAGCAAGCTATTCATCCGCCATTACAAAAATCTCGTCAACATATCGAGAATAAGAACAAAGGTCACTTGTAATTGGGCAGAGCTGGATTTCCTCTAGTTTTCCCATGGAGACGTCAGCTAGTAGCGGTCCAAGGGATGATCCCACCGTTCTGGCGGTAAAATTGACCGACGAATCGGAAATAGACATTTGATGTGCAGCGTAAGAGCAGTTCCATTGGGTCTCGGACCGGCATGTCGAAAGTTGTTGTGGTCGACAAGATAAAGATTCCCTATCAAAAGTCAGGGAAGACGGTTTGAGTTGGACAACCTTTACTGCCTGAGAAAGTGTGTACACAAGGGCTCTGTAGGCAGTCGCCGCGAGCGCGCTCCAAGCAAGCTGTTGTCTGTGTCCGCCTTCGGGGTGTTGTCTTAGCGCGTGTGTGCGCCCTTCGATGTCTCCACGTCCGCCAGCCAATCAGAGTGGGGACAGCGTTGATTGGCCTCGAGCACTCGCGCGGCCCAGCAGCGTATCGACATGGACTGTGAGGCGGACAGGACGGCAGCATGACAAAGGCGGAGGGTGAGGGGACGCGAACTGCTACAGGCATTCCGATTCGGAAGTCGAGCCGTTCAATCTCGTCACATAAAAACTCATTGTTTACGCCAGAAAAGTTAGTGAACAAAGACACGATGTCTTAGGACAGCATAGTTTTCCCGCCAAGATTTGTATGTCTAAAGCAGTCGACGAATTCAAATGTGTCCCGTAAACTGCCTGGTGCTATTCTGTGTCGAATTGGCTTAAGCCCTTCTGCCAGCCACTTGGCAATTGCATGATAGGGGAAATTACTTATGCCTAATATCGGCAGTATCGGGAGGTTTGATTTATGAATATTTGGCAAACCATATAGCCTTAGGGATATTGTACTTTATTCGAAGCACTACAGCACCTTGTCCCCCTGTGCACGAACTTAACGAGTCATTCGTGCAGAAAGTGATGCGATCCAATGAATAAATTAGCTGATTACAAAAGAACATCGGTTTTCGCCCCCATGTGTAACACTTTTTTCTTGACAGAAGGGCTCAAAAACATGTTCTGCACGTGAAAATGTCATTCCCCGGTACGGGTTGTCTAAATATGTAAGGTGCTCAACGTCTAACGAGCCAATCGTTCATCACGCTTCATAGGTTACGTCATCTAATGTGGGTGGGCAAATCCCCCACAAGAATTCCATTACGTCCCTGCACCTTATCGTTCGTTCCACTGATGATTGTATTCGAACCTGTTGGTTGTAAATGCTCGTTGAAGATTATTTCAGAACCGTTATACAGCGTCTACTCCCGCTCAATGCACTTTACGCTTCTCGACGAGTGTTTCGTGTGGCAAACATCTCGTTTATTGAATTTTCAATAATGAAACATCTAGATCCCCTATAATTAGCGCTATTTTGTCTCAAGTGGCATGAGTTCCGTTTTATTCTACGCATAAGTTTGAAGTATTATTATCCTATGCTTGCTGGCTCGTATTTGAAGGTTCCGCCCAATGACCTAGCAACTTCCATCACATAATATATTTCATAAATACATGCTACTCACTCCTTGGTATTAGTATGTGCATTCTAAAAACAGATGTGCCACGCCTCGGGGTTGGGTATGATTGGCCGACGACGACTAATAAGCCAGACACGGCCACCACATTCTCCCTTGTTTTTTCGGCAACGCCATTCTGCCTATATCATGCGCCGCTGTGCGACTGCTGGTTGGGCTAGTGAGAGAACCCGTAAGGTCCAACGAGACGAGTGAGTTGCATAGGAACGATCGGTGAGCGCCCCTCTATCATTAATTCGGTCTCTCACATTGGCGACAGGCGACATGGCTAGAAAGCATGGGTACCAGACGAAGAACGGGCATTGCACCTTAAATACTCCACCAGCTAAGGGCACAGTTAAATGAGAGGCACTTCCCTTAGGGTTTAAAGCAGAGTGCACTAAACAGCAACGGGATCTGCCACCCCCGAAGATTCGCAGTGATTGCTACCGCTGGTGGCAGCACATTTTCCACCGATATCCGCCTACGCTGATTAAAATTAAGGTCATGAAGAAGACAAACCAGACCTTACCCTCGGTCATGAAGCAGCTTGATCTTTATGCATGGTCACATGCGAATGGAAGTCATAGGTTTGTCCTGGTTGCGATACTAAATACGAACGACTTCGGTCAAGAAAGGTGGCGACAGGGATGGGGGACGATTTTTGACTTACCGCTGTCGGCCGACCAGACCACAACCCCAGGTAGGGAAGACCCTGGACTCGAACTGCAGTTCTTTTGTCGTTAAAAACTGCTTTAAGTGATCAACATGAAACCCCTCCGGTATTTTTAGCAATCGAAATCCGATCGAAACCCTCCTAGTGGGTAAGATGCAATAAGCCCAGCCACTTACTATGGTTTCTCGGAGGCCCTCTTAGCAGCAGAGAGGTCAGTGGAATGCAGTCGACCAATGCGGAGGCAATAACAGCAACAGCAGTGATGATAGACAAGCTCCTCCATGATCGATAAAGAGTACTTGGTGCGATAATCATGGTATGGAAGGCGATGGCCTCTAGTAAACAATTTGTCATGCCCTTTATGACAACATTTTGTGACTGGCTTATGCATATCCTGAGATCAAATTTAAATAGGCAACACATTCCTCGCCTACCGAAAAGTGACTAAATAAAGCGAATGTCAAGGTAACTGCAAACAGCCGCTCAAGTGGCATCGACCGAGTCCTCTTCATCTTGACTAGGAGTCTGGGAGGGCGTTTGTCGGGAAAACCGGGAATAAAAACCTGGGTCCACAAGGGACGATGAAGAACTGGCCCTTTGGTTGGAGTAGACATGTATCTAGGTACTGTCGGTAGCCGTTCGAACTAGCCCAATCTCCCGCCATACCCTGCAGGCACGGATTGGGAACATCGTGATCGGTATGCGAAATCGGCACTTGCGTGCTAAATGGATAAAGACAAGGAGATCGCATTTAAGAAACCGGGGCAAATGTGAACTTGTGTTACGGGCCGCAGTCCCAGCGGAATGGTGCATATCTTCGCTACGAGACTACCAGAACGTACTAGTGGTCAAAAACACCACCCTAGCACGACGGTTCGGCGGTAGCGAACGACGATATCCACAGCGTAGTGGGAGCAGGACGGCGACTTGCACAGGATCTGTCGCACTCTCCCGCCTCACGCCCTTTAGCCCGATGACAGGACAGAGTCAGACCAATCAAAGACCGGTTCGGGTACAGTACCTGACAAAGCTAAACAGCCCAACAATGCGTGCCATAGAAAAACCCAGCCCTTGGACAATGGACCCAGATTATTACAAAAGACGGAGATCGGCTCGAATTCCACCTAGGCGGCACCAACAGAGGGGCAACATTTAGGAGCCATTGCGCCTCAGGCCTCCGACCTGCCACCTCACATACACACATAGTGTTGACTACGGCGGCCGAGTTAGCCCATCATTTGGTAATCTTCTAGGCTACAACTTTTGGCGCGTCGTGATGGACTAGAGTGAGTAAGATTTACCATTGCTGGAGAACACGCTGGTGTGCTGTGGGCATGCAGTCACCAGTCCACCTTACTCTCTTCCCTCCCCGAGTCATCTAGTGCTAGTATTGGCTACAAACTGGCTGGCGCAACCTGTAGCCCGCGCCTAGGCGTACTGCCACACACACCCTTCCCAGGCGTTACATCTTTTATGGGATGTGCGAACTGGCTAACGCATTTCATGCCCCAATCCGGCCTTCGTCCGGCGCATCTCCATCGTGGTCCGTCGTGTGTGTCCGTAACGAACGAAGTACAAACGCCGAGTTTTATCTTTGGACTCCAGTCCAAAATATGATTGACGGACAGCATCAAATAAGTGGCCACTCCATGCCGGTACGACTTCCCGACTTCGTAACACACCACAGGAGAACGTTCGGGCGGCGGCCGAAGGTCACATTCTCTTAGGCGCAAATAAAGGCGAAATAAACTGCAGCACCGACTATTTTGTTGAAGATTGCGGCGGGAGTCTCTACCCTGCTCCAACTCACAGAATATACCCCTTTCTATCAGGTTCACTACTGCTGACGGCTGAAAAAATTTGACCGCATTCCGACCAGCGCAGACAAAGATTTTCCATTCTTAGTTAAGAGCAAGAGTGAGAGGAAGACTGTTCTCGCCAAGCAAACGGCTAAGTGTAGTTATGTACAGCTGATCAAATCAAGTCCAATATCCACAACTTTCGTTCCCCGTGGGACCACTTTGAGTTGGCTCAAGATGTCTCCGCATGAGGTGGGTACGTGGGCTCCTGTCCTGGCCAGGGTTTTGGTTTGCCTTGTTGTGAGGAACAGGGTGCTTGACCATACACCTCACACATGCACTGGCGAGGGTACCTGGGAGGAAACAGGAACATGTAGATGACAAAATGCCGTGCGAAATATGAGATGATGTAAAGCGAAAAAGTACCAAGGGGTGTTCACTCAGCCCACGGGGAGACGCGCTGAAAAAGAGCACAGTTAGACAGGCGCAGCCTAAAGTTCCCGAAACCAACATGTTGGGCAGGTTGCGAGTGTCAGTTCAGTCGTTGCTTTTTCGTCCTAAAGAGAGTTAAATTTGGCGGAATGACGGTGGATATTGATAGGTGACAGATAGCCATGGTTCTGCAAGATGTGGCAGTGCGAGAGCTTAGTTGCTCTTATACAAGCATGACGGCATGACGGGTCCACTTTCAGATCAAAAGGTACTTTACGAAGTCCCTGTGCGGTCAAAGCCCATAATGTAGCAACTAATCGCCCTACTTAGAAATTCCAAGTCCTCAACGACCGCATACCTAGCGTTGAGTTGCGAACATGAAGTGGCTCGCTGAGCCATCATTTATGACAGTCGATGGCGGCAACGAGGATGGTGAGAAATTGCCGACGGTATCGCAGGCAAACAAAAACAGTGGGGTGATCGAATTTGCTGCTTATAGAAAAAGTCACATCAGACAAATGGCTGTTAAAGAAAGCGCTGGTACATACACCCTTCGCCACATACTTTGTGCCAAAGTTGGCTGGATTGACCAATTGTTGTTTCTCTACTTCCTCCATCTTTAGTGTTTCGGAGGTCTTCGCACAGACGCGAGCAATATGGGCTTCGATACTGTCAGCTGAGCGAAAGGAGCAATCCACGGTGTAATCGCGTCCATCAGCCAGATAGAACTGTAGCGATGGGGTGGGGCAGATGTCTTGGAATGTAATAATCTATGTGAGGAGGATGCGGTAACTGAAGGCAGTCATGTGGACCCACCTGTACTGATGGATTTTTGTACTGCAGCTGGGGCAGGTACCAGCGAATGAATTCGCGGGCGCCCTCTGAGATCTCGCCTTTTGAGAGGGTGTTTATGGTCAAAACCTTGATATTGTCTCTAAATATTATGCGTCCCGCATCTAGGTACTTTTTGGTGCGCGTAACAGCGTAACGACCACCCCTGAGAAGTGGCATATTGGTTCCTGAAAATATGACATGCTGAAACTTTAGAAGGCAGAAAAATATGTGAAAATCGAAAATAAAATGCCTCTGACTGAAACGTTGGGGAGGACACTTGATCAAACTGAAACGTCTGCACAGTATGCTGCAAAGCTTAAGAGACAGAATGTGATCCAAAGCCACGACTGTGAAATGCTACAATAAAGTACAGACGATAAAACGTGACAAAGTGCTAAGTTAGCCATTTTGGATGAAATTTTCGGCAATTTTATAAGTTTTACGGAAGTCCATAGAGGGGTAATATAATGTTGTCAGGCTGAGTTCTGTTGCTTCGATGTCGTAGAACACACCCTGTTCCACAACCTACGGTCACAAGACTGATTGTGATGACTTCAAAACAGCTCTGCCCCGCATGTTTGGTGTCCGACTAACAAGTCACACATCTTTTGAAAACTCACCGAAACTTGGAAGGAGGAAGGCAGGAGTCATTTGGACGTAGGGAAAACTACTGTCCAAAATCTGGGCGCCACTCTCGACCGAAATCGCCCGACAGGCGTACAATAGTGTCGAAAGTAGGTCAATCTAATGGTTGTATCGAGCTGTTCATATGATTTGCACAGGTGTAGTGCCAAACCAAATCTGATGGAGCTATTTAGACTGTTCGAACGCCTTTAGCATGGATCCATGATAGAAATGGTGTGATCGTGTGTCGGTGAAGATGTTCGGTGCCCCTTTCCGCACAACTGCTGACATCCCCTTCTACCGACGTTCGCTGCACACTTACTTGGTATCTCATTACACATCAGTAGACTCCAGGGCCCTTTCTGTAGTTGGACACGAGGTTGCACATTCCGCCGGTGGTTAAGCAGGCGTGGCGGTATCACAACTTATCCAGATGACTACATTTTCATGGTCTCTTCGGAGCTATTTCATCTAGCCACGCAAGCGCCATGTGAATAAACGACAATCAAAAGATCAGCAACTTGAAATCAGGAGGCCCATTCTCTACATAAAATGGGTCACCGAGGCGGTCTCTCTAATCTTAAGACACGCCAGAGTTAGCATAGTCCATCGATCCCAGGCAACAATTGGTCGTGTGATTCAACATAAGAACAGGCTGCAATCTACCGAAAACCGGCGGTTGTCTACCAAATATGTTGCAATGGTAGAGAACGCAACTACGCCAGAGAAACCGAGCGAGAGTTGGAGACCCGCTTACATGAGCACAAGCTGGAAACTCGGAGGCTAGACCCGAACTCGCAGCCTGTCGCCACACTCCTGCCCTTCAATAAAGGACCATCTTAGACCGAGGCACCTCAAAAACAGAACGACCCACGCTTGAGACATGGAATTCAGGTGGTAACTCTGTCAACAGGCATCTAAATATTCACGTGGCTTAAAAAGTCCCGCGTCACTATGCGCATAAGGACCAGAGTAAGATGCTCGCACCGAGCAGGCACGGTCCCACGACAAACTCATCCGAAGGAGAAGAAGAGTTTCAACCTTCCTTCATCGACTTGATGAAGCGTAAAGTAGGCAACCGCCAAGCCACTAAAAAGTTGCTAATTGGCTAAGTCACTGAAAAATAAAAACTCCTCAGTTCAGGGCTGACTAGCACGGCCAGTTATTTAAAATTATGACCGGTTTTCGGGATTGAATTCTTTGACATTTATGAACCCACCAAGTTCTGAGAAACGCCAGCAAGCGAGAAATCTGTCTCGGCTAACAACTTGTCTTTCTGAGATTATCATTCTGGAACTCTCGAGTCTGTATCCCCTTTCTTAATAACTGGTTGTTCTATATGTTCGAATTCCATTTCTGCTAAAAGTACACCTCTTACATTCAACTAAACCTTCTACTTTATTCATCTGAATGAGAACGGCTGCTTATCTAACAACTTTATTCAGTCTATTTTCGGTCCCGTACTCCCACGGAGAACCGGAGTGAGGAAGTTTCATTTAGGTAACGGATAAAAGCTGAATCCAATCAGACGAGCGACTGAAGTCCCTGGGTACATTGCTGGAGCGCCTACGCTCTGCTTTGTCTGGAATAATGGCGTAACAAATCAATCGTCTCAAAAATTAACATCGTAAATGAGACTATAAAGTTTGAGGGACCTATTAACATCTTGTTGAATAAATACCATGCACATGTTGTCTAATCTTCGTGTCAAACACAAGACGCGAATAATATAAAAATCGTCTGGCGGAATACACTCAGGGCTTTCTATGGTATGCAGCACTCCAGTAGCACAGGTTATGTAAATAAGCCCTGTGCAGGTCTTTGGATCCAAAGACCTGTCAAATATACCTAATTTATAGATGAGGCTGTGAAATCCACAGCAGTAGGATTTCCAAATTAACTCGACCTCATGTTAGTATCAACAAGCCTTATACCTTCTGATAACACCATTACAGTAAAAAAACCAATCCTAAAAAACCTTGACACCGGCGATCCTCCACCTCTTCGAGAGCTCGAATGTGCGGCTCACTTTCGGGAGAGTAAAACAGTTCTACCACTTTGCATTCACGAAATCAGTGGGCTTCTACATTGAGTAACCCAGTCTCAAATTTACAAACTTTAAAATTTCAAGATGATTTCCTTTAGGAATTTGCACATATTGGAAACTCGAGATAGATAATTAGGTGCTAAACAGAAAGGCAGTGGGCAATCAGGTCAATGGGCAACAACCCCGCCAACAAGGTCATCTGACTAGCAAAATGTCCCTCTGCTGAAGCCAAGGCTATAGCTTGAAATACACCAGGGTTTTTCTTATTTGGAGTAGGGTATTTCGCATAAGTTGATAACAACTGTTGTAATGCACTAAATGACAAGTGTTTCTACATCCGGTGGCTTTACGACGTCCAGACTTGGATAGTTGACCATTTGACGGACATATGCATTTACAATGCCAGCAATCCCGTCGACGATTTGTGCAAAAGTATTATCGACATAGCTGATACAAGGCAGAATGTTGATAATACGAGTAATATTTTTATTTTTAAGCCCCAATGGGCACCGTCCAAACACAATTAAGCACTTAGTCATTTGGCAAAATATTAACAATGTACACAGTAATCATCTATGTGAGCAGCCGGAAGAAGAGTAGAATTTCGGAATTCTGGTGTTTAAAGTAAGCAAAGTTTGGAAATAACGAAAAACACCTTAACTTAAAACTTAGGTATGAGTTTAGGGGATCCGCACTTTTGAAAAATGTTCAGGAAGAAAAAGACTAATTCAAGAAGAGACATGGAGGGACAAGGTGGCTTTTCCTGTGGACAAGATGAAATTGTAAAGGTGAGACGGCGAGCGAGAGTGAAGCATCATTAACTTGCGTCTGGGGATGCCGGCTGGTGGTAGACCTGGTGTGAGATCCCAACGTTCCAGCGGGTAGAATAGAATCCTGATGAGGGCATGTTAAGGGCGAAATAGGAGCCACCCAAACCGTAGGCGTCACTATGACCCAATTTCTTTTCTGAAAAGTTGATTAGAAAAGATATTTCACTTCGTGAAGTACACGATGAACTGAAGAAATCGGAATTCCTGCTGAGAGATCGTGGGAAACGAGACATCACCCTTGTCATGCTTGTTATACTGATGGACAAAATATTATGGATACAGGAATCGCTCGGAGATGCCTCTATCCTCTTCCCATGTGTCGCTGATACCAACACTACTGTTGGCAATACTGCAGCCCGAACTCCTGTTTACTGTGCCTGTATCATCACTACCGCGATCGTCAGATATGTCGAGTAATTGTGTCGTATTGTTGATTACAATGGAACCCACCGTCTGGTTGAAGGATGGAACAAAGTTCCGAGCTCTGTTGTCTTGGCAGAAAACGTTGCGACCTTCAAAAAAGATCAGATAACTTTATGCTTGATTGTCAGAAATTTACTGGCATAACTCTTATTTAAATAAGTGCAATCTTTTTATACGTCTACCTGTAAACATGCTTTTCCAAGGCTCTGCCTATATCTCTCATATATAATGAATTATACTGAACCCATGTGACTGCTGCATTAATTCGAAACCTGGACATACAAAAGCGTTTGTGACCTGATTTCTGTAAGTTTTCATTGTTTCTAACTCAGTGCTACAACAAATGTTCGCAGTTGGACACTTTTTGCCTCGAGTAATTAAATTACGTGGACTATGTAATGCAGCATGCTCCGTCACACATCAGGGATATTTCAGCTTCAACTGGGGGTAGTGCTGCGGCACAAGGTGTTTAAATCGCACATAAACCCGAAATGACCATGCCCGACACAGTCGTGAAGTGTTAGGATCTATAAAATATCGGACGAATATCTCGTGTGGCATATTATCGCGTCAAAACTGCACTCGCAGCTACGTAGGTTGGACTAAACGTATGCTCGGATTGCACATACACGAGCACAAGCTGACTGTGCGGTGGGATGGTAAACTATCTGAAGTGGCTGTTCACCCCTACGTATCAGGTATCGATTCCAACTTCACGGACAGCTGTAGTCGGGACAACCTATGAGTTGATTGGAACAAGGATATCTGATGGAAAATTAAACAATAAACGCATCCGTAAGACTGACTTGTGCGCCCATGCAATATTTTTCAGAGAGCCTTGTCCCCTCCAATAATGGAATGGTGGCAATAGGGGTCTGTATGGGGGGACCCTCCCGGGAAACAAGCAGGGGTACTGTAAAATTACTGAAGGGTTTAGATTCAGGCAAAGGCTGGTAAGTATAGGAATGGACTTGAGAGTAGGGGAATCATAGCGAGGGAATAGCAAAATAGTTTACTAAATGTCCCCAAATGACAAAATGTGTTAAGGGGCAGCGATGGTTGACGAAGACACTTACTTTTAGTAGTATTTTTGGGAAAATAGGTGATGTCCTTGATGTCTCTATTAAAAACCTCACTCACAATATTCGTGTCCAAATAAGCATGTTACCAAAATGTCGCCGGTAACATATACATTCTACATAAGCTTATTTGGCGGCGTGAAACTGTAGCTCCAGCACCTGCAGTTTTTTAAGTCCACAGGTTCTTCACACGTACAGTTGAGGCTGGGAATGCAAATATTATTAAAATTTAAACAATCCAACTGCTTTTTGAATACAACCGTACTATCAGGCGTCAGTATTTTGCTTAGGAGGGAGTTCCACGGTCGAACCACCTGCTGACTACAAAAAAATTCCTTTGGTCTGACCGCGTGCATTCACGTTTAACCTTATGCAGGTGACCACGCAGATGATTCATGCTCGAAAACTCAAAGAAATCCTCAAATTTGGGTGAAAATTCATGCCCGCGAATAGGGCGAAATTTCAACACTAGGCCGCACCTCATATGTCTATACGACAGGGGGAATGGACTGGGTTGAATAAGTCTTTCTGGATATGACAGAATCCTTGGACCTTCCACCAGTTTCGTCGCCCTTTATTGTACATACTGGATGGGATCACTGTCTTTGTTCATGCAGGGCTTCAATACTGGCGTTCCGTATTCTACATGCGGTCTGACGAAAGTGCCAAATATCTGCATGAAGATTTCAGGGGAAAGATCATTAAAGCACGCCTAATCCGGTGCATGGTACTGGTTGACTTTTGAATGGCTCTTTCGCAGTGTTAAGAGGCCAGCATGTTTGAACTTGTACAGGAACCCAGGTCTTTGTGCATATCCATTTCTTTTTGTGTAATCCCATTTATAGTGTACTGGAGCTTTAGGAAACGTCTGCGACCAGATTCCAAACGCAAAACTACACATTCGGATACAGTGAACGTCAAAAGCCCTTTGTTGCCCAGGCAGCCCACTTGTTAACGCCTTCTTGCAGTTTCTGCGCGTCGTCGGCACAGCTTATTGTTTTCCGGAAGTTTATGTCATCCAAAAACATGATGGCATCGAAGTCAAGATCTTCAGTATAGTCGTTAATATAGATGACGAAGAGGGAAGGACCCCAGGCAGAATCCTATGGAACGCCGCCTTCTACCGGTACCCCTTTCGGATGCAGTAGTACCAACAGTTACTCTTTGCAATCTGCATGACAGGAAACTTTTGTCTACTTAGATATTTTACACTCTATTCCAAATCGTCAAACCTTCTTTAGGAGTCCGCCATGAGGCACGCTTTTAAACGCCTCTTTGAAGTCAAGGAATAAAACATTCACTGGACGGCCTGGTCTTTAATTATTGTCCACTTTTCCGCGAGTAAAGACTACGCGTAAGATATGAGTGACCATGACAAAATCCGTGTTCAGCAAAACAAATTAGGCTCATATGCTCAAAATACATCACTAAGTGTCCCTTGATAATTCGTTCTACGACCCTGCGCGAGATGTAGGTTAAATTTATATGACGATAATTTTGGACTCCATCATGAGACCTCCTATGTAGATTAGGGGACTAAAAGCAGTTTTTCCTTCTACTGACAGCTCACCCTCTTCTATGGACTTTTTATATACCCTAGATACCGTCTTGCACGGTACATAGGCAATTCTTGAAGAGCGAGTGAGTGAATTCTGTCTGAGCCCGGTAATCTGACCGGCTTCAATCGGAGCCTCGGCGTATTAAGGAGATGTAATGACGATCACCGAAAACCGGATGGTAACGTAAGATAATATGCGATCAGGCCGGCTTTTTTAAAATGGCAAGAAGCAATATCGTGGAATCTATGCAAAACAGATGAAATAATATGGTTTTGGTTACAAAGTATGGATCTGACCGCAGATAGGGTAGTGTTGTCTTTCCATGTGATGCAGCAGAATATATGTGGCAGCTGTGTCGCTATTGTAGTTTACACTTCCCAACACCGAGAAGGCGAAGGAATGCGCTACGCGAGGAACTCCGAAACGCCCAGCGTACAATTAACTCCCTAGATTTAATTAGCTATTGACTGGAAAAGCTTCCATTCCTAAGGCAGATGACATGGGCTTGCGGTGGTATACTGAACCCGCAAATCATAGTAAAATGGCGATGTGTTCGTATTCAGGTCCCGCAGATGTAAAAGCACTAAGGCACTGCGCATGATTTCGGCCTGTCAAAGGAGTGCTAGTGACTGCGAATAGTTATGAAAAAGTGGGTGTCTCCGGATAGCGTTATTGCGACCGACGAGTGAAAGAAATAGGTAAAGCCACCATTGGGAGATCACTAGTACTACGTGATCAATCCCTCACGTAATTTTGTTGATCCAGCTACGGACCGCCACATCAATGCGATCTAAGGATATTGGAGTAGGCTGAAACCTGGCTAGCGCAAAACCGGTATTACCTCTGAGACGGTGGTATGGAGATAGGAAGTTCAAGTGTAATACCGCCTGTGATTTACTATAAAGCTACACACACTTCCGAAAGTCTGGGAACGACATGGAAATCATATTAGGGCCGCCTACCCTGTGATAGCGGAAACTGAGACGGAAACCGTAGGCAAAGCATTCAGCGCAGAATTAACAGCAGCCTAGACACGCCAGCAGCTTCAGTGTAGGCAAAAACCGCAATGAATTGAAATAATCGGCCAGCTCACCAATGTGACCACAGGCAGCTGCAGCGGATCAACGGCTACTGAAAACGAAACAGTGGCAGAAGTAGTCTACTGAGTTAATCCGAACTGCGAAAAATTCGGAAGATGAAGCATAGGAAAACAAATTCAGAGGAACGTGCAGAACGCGCAAAGAAGTGGACGACAGACTCAGCGAATGACGTGCTGAGTGCGCTGGTTGACCGAGCAGGTAACCCATGCAAAAGCTATTCTCTTAACCAAAAGAAAGTTAGCTACAGTCGGCAGTAACTTTTTGGGGGTTTCTACCATATTGATCACATTTTGATAGGGATGTTCGGAAGTAGACCCGATAGACCTCGGCCAGTGGAAATCCGAAGAAAGTTAACACTGTCCATGTAGCTGAGCGATGCGGAAGGCAAACATTTTCGTGAACTGAGATCGCAGGTAGTGAAAAAAATAAATTGATGACGATATGGCTGACAGTCAACTGCAAGCGCCACCCGACGGTCGTTGGATGAAGCGCGCCTCGAGTAGGCAGTGAATGGTCGTTATAATCGAAGCTGCAATTTTCCACCCTGCCTTATAGATCCGCTGAATGGGCTGCACCTGAAATCCACAGGGCAGGATTGATGAGATGGTGGCTGTGGAATATCCACTCTTTCAGAGAAAAAAAAACAATGACCGTTTATGGAAGTCCACCTCGCGACCTAGGTTCGAATGATAGGACCGTCAGTTAGTAGACTGCAGGCCAAGTAAAAACGGAGTTTTATAATGGGAACACGAGCAAGAGGTGAAGGAGATGGAAAGCAGTGCAACCGCTCGCTGAGCTCGACGATAATGAACGTCCGATTGCCTGTAACCGAGTGGACGTGGAAGCACACCCAATGCATGGTCGCTGTAATCGCGGATGGTGGATTCAATTTTGCTCGAACGACAGCTTCTCACTGGAACTGATGATTAAAAAAGGGCAGCCTAGAACAAACACATTCACCTGCTAGCCGGTATAAATGTCTTCCGGTGTGGGGTGGCAGAGCGGAAGACCAAAGTACAATCATCCCTGACTGATATGACCGCGTTTAAAATCTCCATTGCACGGTCGCTGTAACCGAAGCCGTAAAGCCGACAATGTCCGAAGGTAGGTCAATCAATAAATAAGAGCATAGGAGTGCGAGGTCGAATAGAGATCCAAATCGCGGGACCAGGATTAAAATATAGCTATGATATAGAGGATTTCTTAACAGATATTGGAGAAAGTCGGTAGCGTGTAATGCTAAGGGAGGGGGACAGTAAAAACCACTCAGTAAAATCAATGTATGAAACCGTCCGGCTGCCGGAAGTCGGGTGGATATCAAAGCACGCGACAGTGCATGGTCGGTTGTGCGCGCATTTTAGTGCTTCCAGAAACGAGTAGAAGAAAGTTCACTTAAACCACGAAAATGAAGACATAAATAGAAAATGTATATAAACCCTAAAAAATTCAGCGTGCAACCAAGTTTCTGGGAAGGATAAGGCACCCGACTGCAAATGCGAAATTCACCGATTAAACCTGAAGTTCATGGAACGAAAAAAATGTGCATTTGAACATTAAAAGCGTAGTTTTGCCCGGATAGATTGCTGAACGATATTTGAATCGAATTTGGCCGATTTTGTTGTCGAGTCTCCTCTACGTGCAAGAAGCGGTAATGTCTGAAACAACTTCTGATGGTATAATTTAACAGAAATGTCAGTGATATAGTTGAGAAAAAACATAACTGCTACTAAGTTACGGTAATTTAGGGTAACAATGTGTGGTACTTGCATGCGTAGATCAAATCAAAATTGAAAGTAACTTATAAAGCATTAATAAGTTGCGGGCAGACGTGACGCGGTGGCCGAGTGGTTAAGGCGATGGACTGCTAATCCATTGGGGTTTCCCCGCGTGAGTTCGAATCTCACCTGCGTCGGCGTTTTTGCATAATTTCTCGAAGTACTACGATATCAAAGTTCCATACTGACTTTGAATATTACTACTTTATCAATAGACAAATTTCAAGAT